CCCCCCCCCACCCCACCCCACCCCACTCCACCCCTACAGCCCAGTTTTTTCCTCTGTGAGAGAGAGATCTGTTCTTGTTTGGTCTGCACCCTTTCGTTTCATGCATCCGGTTTCGTCTATCTTTTATTTTGTTGGTTTTTTTTTCTTTCAAGGTTGTTGGTTTTTTTCTTCTTCAAGGTTGTTGGTTTTTTTTGTAGTCGAAGGTGCAGACATTGGGATTCAGCTTGTTTGTTTTTACTTGTTGAAGGTTGTTGATTTTTTTTTCTTGTTGTTTTGTTGTGTATTTCTGCGTTGTGTGTCAATTTTTGTTTTTACTTTGGTATCAAGGTTCTTTCTGCAGTTTCTGATTCTCCATTTTCAGCAGTTTCATTGCATTCTACTGTCGCTCTCTCTCCGATTCTGTTTCCTGCACCTGTTTCCTCTCCGGTTTACGACATCGTCTTTTTGAAGTATCGGCGTTTCAGCATGCCACACATGAATGGTAAGGATCCGGCAGACTCGTCCAAGGCCGCCAGACAAGGTCACAACACGAAGAGTTTCGACTCGCCGTTCAAGGTTGATCCGACAATCGACGGCAAGAGAGACGACCCTGTCTGGCATTTCATCGCACGAGGTCGTTACTTGGCTGGGTCAACTGCGGCGGGTAGAAAGAGTGGTCGTCGCTGTCTGTGCAGGTTGTGCGGCCGTTCGATGTGCGGGGGCGCTAAGGCCGCCAAGGAACACTTCTCAAAGAGCGAGAAGTTCCGATGTGAGGTGGCCACTTCTGCAGTCTGGTATGCCATCTGGTCAAAGGACATGACAAAATGTCCGAAGGAGTTCATATCGGCTATCGAGGCATTGCAGAGCTTATCTCACGGTCATCCGAACTTCCAGTAGCCACCGCTACGATACCCCGAGGACTCAGTGCCGCCCCTCAATTTCGCCACCACCCCCTCGGAGACGGTGCCTTTGTCCAGTCCAGCCATTCGAGTTATAGTGCCGCGTCGCACGCCACCACATCCATCAGCTCCAGGGTCTGCACCGCTGACAGGGACACAGGGTGCAGGTGGTTTACACGTCGGTCGGTCCATGCCGGCCAATGAGGCCCCTCCTGTGCAAAGGGGGTGGGGGTTGTGCGGCGTTCGACGAACACGACAAACGTGCTTTTGTTGAGAGTCGCACTTGGGGGGGAAGGTGCTGGCACTTCGGCTGGAATTGCCCCTGTGTTTACCAGTGGCAGACAACCACATGTTGCACGGGCTACCACTATTGCGGCCCCGGACACAGCTGATCGCGGTCCGTCGGACCACCCTTGGTTGCCGCCTCCACCGTCACGAGTGGCACAGGGTGTGGCCGCCGACCACATTGTTACGACGGGCAGACCGGAGTCTTCGTGCGTGGCTGCAGATGCTCGACAGCCTACTTCCCTAAGTTCCCTTTCTCGAGTTGGGGAACAGGCAATGCCCGGGCTGGGTGCTTATGAGGTCCCCATTCCGGTGTCTGATTCGTCGCTAACCCTACTTCCACCGACGACAGGTGGTGCTACAGCTGCTCCACCTGTACTTACCGGTTCATTGGATCCTTTGTACCGCATGCGCGACATTGCAGCGGCCCAGAGCGCGGCACCTGAGAGTCCTGGTGGGTTGTTGGATGTCGGGATCCTTGGCGGGCGAGCCACGACGGGACATGGCCGGGACACCTTTCGCCAACAGGCCGTCACGTCGTATTATTCGGACCCTTTGGAGCACGTGTAACATTTGCAGATCATGCGCTTCATCGTCGAGAGTGGGATAACGTTCAACTGCGTTAAGCTTGAAAGCTTCAAACGCATGTTCGCGATGATCATCCCGCCGGGGGTTCCAGGGGCGCCCACGCCCAAAGTACCCACGTACCACATGGTGCGCACATCCCTTTTGGATGAGCTGGATGCAGAGGTCCAAAAGTGTGTTCGGCCACTCCTTGACACGGCGAGAGAGTTTGGTTGCACAATCATGACCGACGGTTGGACCAACATTAGGGGTCAGACATTGTGCAACTACCTTGTCGGGACAAATTTGGGGGCACCTTATGTGGCCACCGACGTCATGCACGGGAAGAAGGACGCCACTGCCCTTGCGACCACGTGGCTGAAGAGGGTGAAGTCCATGGACGTGGACTTGAGCGACATCACAACGTTCGTGACGGACTCCGCCGGGATAAATGTTGCAGCGATGGAGGATTTCCAGAAGGACGAGAGCGTCAAACACATCTTCTGGAGTTCATGCGTCGCTCATGTGATGGACCTCATTCTCAAGGACATCGGCGGGATCGATTGGGTGGCCACCCGCATCTCGCAGGCGAGGTTGGTGACGAGGTTCTTCAAGCGTCATGGCCACACACGGGAGGTTTTGGGGGTCTTCTCGACGAAGACCCTTCTACTGCCGGCGGAGACTCGATTCAGCACTAACGTCATCATGATGACGAGGCTTGTGGACCTGCGGGGAGAGCTCACGCAGCTTGTGGGCGAGGACCAGTAGCGTGAGACTGTCTAGTCGTCAAGCAAGATCCGCAAGGACGCCGCAGAGGTCACTGCGTGTATCGGGTCTCCTCCATGGTGGGAGGATTTGAGAGTTCTGTGCAAGATGCTGGAGCCTATCATGGATATGTTGAAGCTAGTCGATAGCGACACACGCCAGATAAGCAAGATTTTGCGTCGTTACGAGGTTATGATCGCATCTTGCTTGTCTGTGTGCCGCGACCTCGATCGGGAGTAGCAGGACGCTATTTTGGAGGTGTTCGACAAGCGGCGCACCATGTTCCGGACACCCGCCCACACAGCGGCCATATTGCTGAATCTCAAGTTCCGAGACCCGACGCTGAACGACGACCAGGAGGTGCAGCAGGGATCGATCGAAGCCCTGGTCCAGTTCCGCTATCCAGAGGGATCGGTGCAGCACGAGGAGGTCCTTAGGGCGGTATTCAAGTTCCACACAAAGGAGCCTCCTTTCGATGATGTCAATATGCGGCGATCGTTGGCATACTACAGCCAGCCTGCCAATTTTTGTTCCGTGAAGAGTGCGAAGTACCCTCACACGACCGTCTTTGCCGGTAGGATCCTTCGCATCTGGGCGATTGCATCACCATGCGAGAGAGCATGGTCTCGATGGAGCTTCATTCATTCGAAGTCACGTAACAGGTTGGAGGTTGCTCGGGCCGAGAAGCTCGTGCGGTGCCACTGGAACCTCAGACTCATTGATAGACCGTCGTTGTGTGACGATGCTCTTGCTGACAGACTCGATATTTTCTGGAACTGGGTGCATTACTGGCAGGCTGTGGAGGAGGAGGTGGCAGTGGACCGTCAACTCGGCAGAGGTAGTGGTGCACTGGCGAGGGTGACTGAGGAGGAGTTGGCTCAGGCCAGAGAGAGGATGCGCATCGTTTCCCGCATGGGAGCCATACATCGGGTGGCGGAGTCCGACAGGAGGCAACGCAGGGGCGGAGCAGGTGGACGTGGCGGGCGTGGGCGAGCAGGTGTCGGAGGAACGAGGCGTGGTGGCATGACTGCTGCATCTGGGATTCGTCGACAGCGGGCGGACGGTTTCATCCGCAAGGCCCGCCAGCGTTGGGACGAGGGAGACTTCTTGTTCGACAGCTCATCCAGCGACGACGACGATTTCTTTGCATTGGGGACGCCCGCGCCTACGGACGATGAGAGAGGCGACGGCGACGACAGAGGTGATGGCGGAGCTGGTGGCGGAGAAGGTGGCGGAGGAGGTGGTGGAGGAGGTGGCGGAGGAGGTGGCGGAGGAGGTGGTGGCGGAGGAGGTGGCGGAAGCGACGACAGAGGTGCCGGAGGAGGTGGCGGAGGAGGTGACAGAGATGGCGGAGGAGGTGGCGGAGGAGGTGGAGGAGGCGACGACAGAGGTGCAGGAGGAGGTGGCGACGACGAGGGAGGTCACGACAGAGGTCGCGGAGGAGGTGGCGGCGACGAGGGATGTGATGACAGAGGTCACAAAGGAGTTGGCGGCGACGAGGGAGGTGACGACAGAGTTGAGGAGTGTGAGGGTGACTTTCCTGTGCGTGGTCGTGGGTTCTTCTTGAAGCGGTTGAGACGCGGGGCCAGGCAGGATAGCAGCATCGGCTCTCGTGTGCGCAAGCGTCGTCTTCAGACTCTTCACGATGCGACCGCCACGGACGCACGTGTTGCGCAGCATGAGCAGGTTCTCGTGTCTGAGGACTCCCTGGGCGAGACATCGGACAAGAACTTCATTCCTCAGACTTCTGATGTGAGGGGCGCGGAGCATCAACCCGGTTTCGTCGAGGGCCCGAACAAGTCTGCAGCGACGATTTCAGCGCAAGAGGAGAGTGGAGCAGGGTTGACTTGTCCCGAGCTTGCGGCGCCCATTGCAGATACTGCGGTCGCACATGAGTCCCATCGCCATCTGACACAACCCACCGTCGCGGTTCATGAGGAAGCTCGAGGAGGGGCAGCCAGTGATGGGCAGACAATTCCCGACGGTGAAGGGAATGTGCCACCTCCTTCCACCGTCGTCTGCACGAGCGTCCACGGGGCACCCAGCGTCGTGGTCCCCTCCATAGGCGAGGTAGCACATCCTCCCACGGCCGACGTTGGTTTGGAGGACGGAGAGGTAGCACATCCTCCCACGGTTGACGTTGGTTTGGAGGACGAAGAGGTTCCACGTACTCCCAGTTGTGCCCATGAGGGAGAGGTTGCACGTCCTGCCACGGTCAACCACGTTGGCCTCGCCTGCCCTGCTGACAGTCTTCCGCCCACTGCGGAGTTGCTCGACATGGAGTCGACGTTGTATGCTCTGCCTGACGTATCGACTTTGGCATTTGTGGCACCACCAGCGACTGGTCGAGCGGATGACGTGGATGGAGTGTGTAGAGGATTCGACGAGTTCGTCGGCGACACGATATTGCATCTCGCAGTCTCTGCCACTCCCGCCGTTTTTCATGTTGGGGCACCGCACGCGGTGGACCAGGGTTTGGCGAAGCAGGTGGCACGGAACCGCCGTGGCGGCCCTCGCGTCGCGGCGCAACGCAGTTTGGGAGATTCATTTGAGAGATTGGATGCAGAGTATGCGGTGCAGGAGGGTCATTGTGCACAGGATTCCGCATGCGATGGGTCATCATTCCCGACACTCTCTCAGGCAGACCCGCACCCAGGCCCGCCACGTTCGGTGCAGGAGACGGCTCCCGACGTTGTCGCCACGGACGTGGACAAGGAAATGTGCACGGATGGTACCGTGTGCGTCGCAGCGCAACGCAGTCTGGCACGGACATTGACCAGAGATGGCAGCGTGCCTGCTCGCAGCACAGGGTCCCACTACGAGCATAGAGGGTCATCGGCCGCACAACCAGTCGCTGAGGGGGCCATCGCACATGGTGTCGAAGGCCAGCATAGAGGTCACGCTCCTCCGCACCCCCATGGCGCTAACCCTGTCGTCCACGGTGTGGCGGCGAGCACCGCATTGTCGACGGTGTCGTTCTACGATGGAGTGACCAGGGACCGGAGGACGGGCGATGAGGGACATGCATCAGCATGCGGACAGACAGATGTGTGTGCGGGGATGCGATCCATAGGCCGGGTCGTTGGTGGTTGTCATGACTCTATGAGAGTATACGAGGAGCGACATGGGAGGTCTTTGCGGGCCAAGACAACAGATGTCCACGACACGAGGACGGCGACCGCGAGGTTATCCCGGGCGAGGAAGAAGGGGACAGGTGCATCGATTCCATATCACTGTCGCCGTCCACCACCGACTTTTCACGCCAGAGCTCCGACCACGCAGATTCTAGCGACTGGCGGGGCAGTGGCGGACGGGGGGACAGTCCAATGCTGTTCAGGGCGAGTCGAGAAGAGACGAGGCGATGTGGTGATCTACCATGATGACAGTTCCACAGCCGCGGAGGCTAGCGAGACCACAGGCGCCGAACATCCAGGTGACTCCGATTACGTGCCCCGACGCCCGGCGGCGGATGCAGATGATGGTGGAGGTCGACGCGTCAGGCAGAGGACAGGATTCGGCCCGCACGGGCAGGGGACGCCATCGGACCCTATACCGCCTATTGATCGACAGGCGCAGGCTCAGTCTGTGATACCCAAACTGTATCATTACCGGTCTGAGCCTTCGCAGCAGGATGCAGGTCTGTGACCGCCTATTGATCGACAGGCGCAAGCTCAGTCTGTGAATTTTGCATACAGGTTAGATTTGTGATTTTGTTTGGTTGAGGGTTAACCGAGAGACCTACCTGTAAGGAAATTGGTGCGGGACATATCTGTAAATTTGGAAAAATACAGTCCTAACACTAACTGGATTTCCTATTACTACCCTAACTGCGAATAAGAGGCCCGGGCTACCCCTAGGACAGACAGACCCTATATGCCTATGCTGATAGACGGTCCTATAGCCTATAGCCGGGTCCGGTAGAGGCCGAGAGGCTGAAACAGAAACGGTACCGGTCGGTCAGTCAGTCCGGTTTACGTGTAGGCTAGAGTAGCTGTAGTCTATTAATAGATTAGGCCCTTCGGTCCAGGACTTTTGGCAGTTCATTCTCACGAAGCAGCGTTGGGAGATGTTACGGACTTCGCCAGGGCTCGATCCCTGGTCTATCTTTTGCTGTTTCGGCTGCATCCCGTTTTCGGCATGGCACCCTTTTTCCAAACCCCTCCTTTGGTACCGTAGGATTTTGGACAACTGGCGCCATGCTGCAATTCGGGCGCCACTTTCAAATACTGCATTTTT